TACTTAGTCATTTTACTGTATCACTTGCCTAAAAATAATTAGTGGTATCCTACTGGTTCCTAGCACCTCATTCTACACTTCTCTTCCCCATTGCCATTGTAGCCAATAAAATGTAACCTGTTCTCTCTATATGCAAACATGTAAAGATGTTTTTGTGGATGTTCATTGCCTTTAGATTAAGTACCAAAATCCTTACTGTGACTTAGAATAGTGTTGAAAAACTTTTCCTTATAAAGTGACAGTAAATGTTTTAGTTGCAATGACTCAGCTCTACCATTGTGGCACAAAAACCCCTAGAGACAATACTTAATCTATATGTCTATGTTCCAATGAAATTTTAATTTCATATGAGTTTCAAGTTTCTTAAAATATCATTCTTAAAAAAATGAAATCCTGCTAGTTGCAATAACATGATCGGCTGAAAGGGTATTATTTAAGTAAAATAAGTTAAGACAGAGAGAGAGAAAAAATACTTTATGATTTCACAAATATGTGGTAAAGAAACAAAACAAATGAACAAACAAAATACATCTCTTGGAATATAAAAACAAAACAGTAGTTACCAGAAGGAAAGAATGAAGTGGAGAGGATAGATTGGGTTAAAGTTGTCAATTGTATGGTGATAGTTGGAAACTGGACTTTTGATGGTGAGTATAATGTAACATATACAATATTGATGTAAGGCTGTGCTCTTGCAATGTATATAATGTTATAAAACAAAGTTATTTTACTTATCAAATTATTAAAAATTAAATATCACAGATGCTGACTTGGAAAATTCATCAAAATTTTCTTGTTTCTGTAATGATATCTATGATTCAATAAAAGTTGTGGCAGAATAAATTTATTTACAGATCTACTGCAAAGGTCTTTATTAACTTTTTGCTCTCCACTATTTGTTGAAGAAATCTTACTTTCATTAATGTAAACAATAAATACATATTTCCTTATCATTAAGCTTTCTAAATGCTATAACTGTAACCTTATTTATTGTATGTAATCTGCATATTTTATTTTGTCTAATATGAATTATAACTTTCTTCAAGAAAATAATTATTTACTATGTAGAAAAAGTATGAGATTAGTTCATTTTTTAGTCAATAATTTATTTATTTATTTTTGGAGAACAACATTGCATTACATTATAGAAGTTTCAGGAGTCCATCTTTGAGAACAAGCAGGTGTATATGCTGCATTAAGTTTACCACTAAAAGTCTAAATCCATCCTTTACTATAACATTGTCCCCTTTTCCCTGACTTATCTACCCTCCTTCCCCATATCCCAAATTAATTTGATGTACAAACACTAAAAATTTACTTATGTTTATAATTTAATATTTAAACTATTTTAATTACTAGAAAAATTACAGTTTTACATCAAATTAAATGAACAATACTTATCTTTTAATATCACAGGATATTACCCTTCAAATTTTATAAGGTAGAAATTATGGAAAACTGTATCTTCCTTTGAAATACAAAATTGAAAATTATGAACTCCTAATCTAAAATAAGTATAAAAATAAAAAATGGTATTCTCAACTTTTTTATAATGTTATGTTAAATGAAGTTGTTAAATGTCAGTTGAAGTGAAAGAAAGAGATGGATAGGCAACCTAAAACTTTCTGACTTTACCTGATAAAAACCAGCATTGTGCATGTTATTTATTTTGTTTTGTTTAGATTGAAAATATGCAATAAATCTTAGCTGGACACAAAATCAGAATCTTTACAGAAAGATTAATGGGAAGTGGGAAACCTTAACCACAGTTGTCATCTTGCTACGTATTTGAAACAGTAGCCCTTATGAAGACTAATCTAGATTTAACACAAATGTTATATGCTGTATTTACAAAATAGATTCAGATAGGAGCTCTTATTTCCTGGTGGCTGTTCTTTGTAACTTCAAAGTTTCTGTAAGGAAAGCTTCAATGTTCCTTCGAAGTGTCTTCATTATTACAAAAAAAAAAAAAGTGAAGTGTAAAAAGGAGTGTTTGGAATCAATCATGGCATTCTTAAATAAGAACCATCATTTTGGCCTTAGTGAACAAAACATAGCAGTAGACATTGAAATATTTGCGAAAAATCTCAGAAAATTGAAAATGCAGAAGGGTTAATTTGTGCATAGAAAAAAATGCTTTGAACATTTACTTACTCCGGAACACTTCATTATGTATTTGTTTCAAAATTAAGTCAAGTCTTTAAATTGAGATAACATTGGTTTACAACACAGGATATTGTTCAGAGGTATATGTTCACACCTGTTCAGATGTATGTTACCACACCACGACCACCAGCAAGGCATCCTGTAGACATTTTCTACTATAACAACCAACACAAAAATCATTTTGCTCATGCATCACCTTATGATTGTGAAGTTACACTTTTAAAATGGGTACAATATTACATGGACTATGCACATCATACAAGAGCATGAGCAAAATGATTTGAAATAGATACTAAATAGCAAAACTAATGTGAATTATTGTCACTGTTAGCAGTAAAATTCATCTTTCTAAGTTCTAACACTAAATTCTTTATTCATACTCACTTTGAAGGTTTCTTTAATAATAATAAAAAAGTATGCTTCTTTTTTACACAGTATTTCTATTTAAACCTTTGTCATATGATTTTTTCCCCCCAGATTGGATTCTATACATTCACTTTTATTGAAACTGGCTTCCAATATGTGAAGTAATTTTGAATTGTATCACTACTTTCTAAAGTGTTATCAAGTCCATGATATTGGATTTTGATTATAATAATCTTCTTTCCAAGCTCATACTGATTTTTTTCTATATACACATCCTAATAATAATAAAGGGTTTTTGAAAAATCCCATTGAAGAAAAAGATGCTTGTAGTTTAGATACATTCCAGTTATTGTTTCTTCTTATTAAATTGACTTGCACTATATCTTAGAAATATGTTACTCAGTTCTGGTTGAAAATTATAAAGATCACCCACATTTTTCAGTGATTTTAAATATATTGTTTGATAGTTCCCTATTATCAAAATAAATTTGACATTTAAGGTGCCCTTGCGTTATTTTCATTAATCAGTAGATTTAAAAAATATAACTTGGCTGTTTGTCTTTTATTCATTATGTACACCATAATACTTTTTTCCTAGTATGTCACTTAATTTTTTTTTCTTTTGGGATTTGTTTTCTTTGTGTTTTAAATCCTATCCCCAAAATGTAGAGGTGTACAAAATTTTTCTCTATTTTTTCTTAATGGGTAAAATTAATTTTCACCATAAAATCTTAAAGATATCTTAAATTCATTTCTGTTAAAATGAGAATAGACTCTAACTTTTTTCCCTAGATGGGAAGCAGGCAAGATTTCCAACTACTTTGCTAATGATTATAATGATATATTGGTTTTATCTCTGAAACTAGTGTCACAGGCAATAACAAAAATAAAGTTTTATGTATAATAAATTTCTAAAGTGAAACATAATTTAATAGGATTAATGCCCATGTTGTTTTAAATAGTTAAAATAAATCAAGTGGGTTAAAACAATCATTTTGTGTTCTTGTTTAATTGGATAGCAATTTTATTTAATTTACAATTAATTATAGGGCTTCCTTGGTGGCGCAAGGGGTTAAGCACAGCACTATAAAGCTATCCGTCTGCAGCCTCTGCAGTACCAGTTCAATGCCCGGTCAGCCAAGGAGATAAACCACATGGAGCAGCAGATCTCTCCTGACTCGCCTGCTGCTCCCCTCAGCAGTGTATTTCAGTAGATCTGCCTGTTCTGTTCCCTGCTCTGTCTCTGGTGAATCCTCTCTCTCTCACACACACACACACACCCCTATGGTCTACACCCCAGTTCTTGTATGCGTAAATAAGTAAATCTTTAAAAAAATAAAATTAATTACAAAATTAAAAAATATATATGAGTTAAGATATGGGTTTTAGACATTGCTACACAGGGTGATGGGAGCCCTCCATGCATTTTTCATTTCTCTGATTCTTTTTTCAGCTTTCCCCACCTACTGCTATCCTATATCTCTCCAAACTCCAACATATGCCTTTACAAGTTCACCAACAAAATTGTCAATAATTTAGAATTTTTGTCAGTAAGTCCCTGTGCATTGGTCAATAGTTCAGAAAGATCTCGTGTTGAGCGTGAATGTAGAAAGAGGCTCCATTTATAACATTCAATATAGTAGGCATATTTCATGGTTTTAATGGTTTGCCATTTTGGGTACAATGGAAAATTTATAATATTTATTTTGACAAGAAATACTAGATAATTTTCATGAATAATACCATGCCCATAGAAGTATTGGGAAGATTAATGAGAAATGAAATGTATTACATTTGGAACTAGCATGTTTACTTATGTTTCAGAAGACATAAGTTGATGTATGACATCAAATTTTGCTTTCTCTAAGCCCAGTGTAATGAGATATATTAACAAGTACATATTTCTTGATTTAGGAGATCAAAGTTTTGATGTTGAGAAACTACAATTCATTTCAATTTAATTATTACAAATTAAATTCCACTAATTGCAACAACTTTGAAATGTTTTTTGACTATTTCAGTTTTATTTATCAGAGAATATATTTTAATTCTAAGTTCCTCCTTACTATAAATTTCTTTAGGATGTTTCTGTATGTGAACTCAGAACAGCAAGCTATTATTGAGAAATTTTAAATATTTATTTTTATCTTAAATATTTGATTTCTATAGTTATACCTAGGGATATTTATGACATGTAGATGTCCTTCCTTTACCACAAACAGGTTGAATCAGAATAGCATATGACTTTTAAAAGGTTTTTTTTGGTATTTCTGTCATAGTGATCTTCTCCTTTGTTGTTTCAGAGAACAATTTAGAATTTTATGATAGGAAATAAGCCATTCTTTGTTACAAAAAACATACAAGGGCATATGAATGTTATAGTTTTGAGAGTCTGGAAAGGAAATATGTTATTGCAAATAACTGAATATGCAAAGCAGATCAACATGTTCCACATTTTGTTATATTACCTTTTTCCTTTAAGGAAACTGGAACCTTTACTTCTTTCCCCTTGATAGACTCTGGAAAGAAACACTAGCATTAATTTGAGGCAAAGATAAAAAGATTTGAAAACACATATATAATGGAGTCAGAGAGCTATAAGTGAGGTGAATTTGGATGGAGAAAATACGGTATTTTATTCAAAAATGGTATCAATCATACATAGACAAAGAAACAATATAGGATACAAGAAGCCAACCTCTGATCATTTTAATTAAAATAAGTTATTGAATGAGTTACAATCTTTCTGTTTATTTAAGAAAATGAGATTTGGATAAGTAAAAATAATTATATCTGTAATTTAAAAAAAAACATGACTTCAGCACCTACAAGTCTCCCAAAACTGATGGAACTAGCATTAACTTCAATTTTTTTTTCTTTCAGACTATGTTCTTTCAAAAAATTATCAATTTGAAAACCCTGAATATACCATGTTAATATGCTATCATCAGAGATGCATTAAACAAAATTTGAGCAAAGACAAAATTTGAGAGACAATTTTATCTATGGACTCCCAATTTCATCAAAATTCAGTTCTTAAAGTAAGTTTTATAAAATTTCATTTATTTTACCAGCTTCAAATACAAAAGGATTCTGATCTCATCATGAGTCTTAGACACAGGCGGATACTGCTTTGAATAACATTATACTTTCCTATTAGCCATTTAAAAATGAAAGATAAACCATTTTTCTGTCTTCTCTGCAACACTAAATCTTAGTACTCATTTTACTAACAAAAATTACTTTTATTTATTTTTTTTAAAAGATTTATTTATTATTTATTTATACAAGCACTGGGTACAGTCAGAAGCGCGGGAGAGTGAGAGAATTCACCAGAGCCAGAGCAGAGAGCAGAACAGGCAGAGTGACGAAGTACACTGCTGAGGGGAGCAGTGGGCGGCAGGAGAGGTCTGTGTGCCATGTGGGACCCTTGCCAGCCACCGGGGATGAAACCGGCGGGAGGCTGCGGGCAGCTTCGCAACCCAGCACTTAACCGCTGCGCCACCAGGGAGGCCCAACAAAAATGACTTTTAATGCAGTGAGAAAGAAAAAAAAGAAAGAAATCTAACCTTTTTTTTACCCCATCCCCAGAATGAGATAGTAGCACTTATTTAAAAAAAAAAACGCTCAAGTAATTGCTTAGAATTCATTGAATCCAGGTGATTTGGGGTAATTTGAAGCATGCATACAAGGGTTCTATTGAAAAGGCTGTGTCCCTTAAAGGAAGACTTTCTCGGTTTATAAGTTATGGCCTTAAATATCCATGTATTTGTAGAATATTTTAAAACTGGTTTTTATAGCAAAGAAATGTTAGTGTTGTCATTTATTGTGCTAAATATAAATAGGTTTTTTTTTCTATATTTTAGCATGTGAAGATGAAATCAAGAGCCATGCATTGAATAAACAGTAAGCTTCATTAACTTTCTTCAAGCTGATGGGAGCAATTTACTGTTTTTTCATTTCCTGGCTAGGCCAAAAGAATTAATGTATTGTGAAGTGAGAAGTGGTGGTAGAGAGAGTCCCCATGGGGTGGGAGACTGTAATGCAATGAAATGTTAGAATTCAAGATGCAGCATGTTAGCATAAATGGGTAAGTGTATATGTTCCCATGAGATTAGCTATAAAACTAAAAATCTAAGAGGGCCCAGAAGACTACTTTGATTTTGGTGGAGAAATAAAAATTACAGAATAACAGATATAGTTATTTTTTTTTTAAGATTTATTTATTTATTTATTTATACAAGAATTGGGGTACAGGCCAGATGCATGGGAGGGTAAGAGGATTCACCAGAGACAGAGCGGGGAACAGAACAGGCAGACTGACGAAATACACTGCTGAGGGGAGCAGCGGGTGACACAGGAGAGGTCTGCTACGCCATGTAGGACCCTCGTCGGCCGGCCAGGATTGAACCCACACTGCAGAGGCTGCGGACAGTCTCACAGCGCTGCGCTCAACCCCCTGTGCCACCAGAGAAGCCCCAAATATACTTTTTAGGGAACTTGTAGGTCATTAAACCCATCACTTTAAATTTGGAGAAAACTCTTAGAAAATGCAAATGATTTATAAATGATAACTTCCTGAACCTACAGTTTAATTAACTAAATGCATAGCTTAGTTTAAAGTCACCAAAACCAATGATCTGTAAATGAAAGATGTCATCTGCTCCTGGACCATGTCATCTCCTGCACGGACTTTCTAGCAGATCATTTCCTCTCATTAAGCTTTCTGACTTTAGTGAGTTTGACCTAATTTAGGAAGTCCACATGCTGATCAGTCTCTAATAATGCTAGGAAGTGAGAGGAATATCAAATATTACAAAAATGCAGAGAGTGCTGTATGGAAATGCTGTACTTCCATATTAGGAAGGATAGACAGATACATCATCAGGTTAGTTCAGCTTTTAAATCAATTTACAACTCATCTATCTTGTTTGTCAAGAGCAAAGCATTGGAGAACACTTGTTCAAAAAACAAATATAATAGATTTTTGTGTGTAACTCTGAAAGTATACAGGAAGGCTGATGAATTTCAATTATCAACACTTAGAAAATATTTAATGGTTTTGCTTAAACTGGAACTCTGCCAATAGTGTGGACAAGGAAGTTGTGATGGAAAAAATATATTCACAAAAGAATAGGAAGATGGTTTTAGGTTTACGATTTCTCCACCCTGACCCTACAGACAACTGAGTGAGGGTGAGTGTCCATGATGAATTATAAATTATTTGATCTCAGTTTCAAAGTTCACAGACAACTTACCCCATACTTTAGCTTTTGTTTGATGAGTGAATATGATCAAGGAAAAACAAGTTAAAGACAAAGAGAAATGTAGAGATCATCATGTGGATGGCCATTTTTTTAGGATATAAAGGAAGATAAACTCTGTTGAGAATCCTCTGGCAATAGATCTAAACATATACAGGACTGCATCAAAAATTTAGTCAATAATTTTGATGCTCTGTCAAACTGTTCCATAACAAAGGAAACTAAATGTACTACTACTATTTTCTCAGTAAAAGAGAAATTAATCTCTTTGTTGTTGCCTTGTTTGGGTTTGGTCTTCAGTCCAGAGGTCCATGAGTGAATCTTGCATCTTCATTTAAGCTGCTAAAAGTAAGTGGCCATAGAATAGGGGTGGAAGCCAGAAGGAATATAGCCAATTACAGGGGTCATTAACAGGGTTGTCTGTTTTCTGGGCGATGGACGGCACATAAGCAGATTTCTGCCTTCATGAGTTACATGAATGAATTACATGAATGAATCCACTAGCCTATGAATGTCAATAGCGTAACCAATAGCAAAAGATGCAAGATGTGTCTTGATTCTGCTATTTTTCTTTGGAAGAATCATCTATGGAGTTCTCTATAACTCAGTAAGTAATGACATAACCTAATGATGTTTCTTTAAATCCCTAATTTACCCATGGTAATCATAGACCCAGTTCTTAGGTCCCCAAATATTTTCTGTATAATAATACTAGTGTTAGAATTTTAACATTGCTTCAATATGGGTTATAAGTGTATATACAAGGAATCTATGAGAGATTGGCAAACACAGGCAACCTGTTAGCTTCATAATAGAAATAACTCAAAAAATATGACTCCAATTTTAAAAGTGACTTTTTGGCAAAAGGAATTACTGTATTCTTTGAATGAGCATAGCTCAGCAGCAGACCTCAAAGAGCCTGTCCAGACACAACACTGTAGGAATTTTGAAAGTACTTGGAATCTTATAGGTAATATCATTATTTTTTCTTTGATTTTTTTTGATAATGATAAATTATATTTATAAAGTAAAGAAATATACCTATGAAATCTTCTATAATATTATCCAATATACAATAATATTATACCTTAATATAATAAAACTATTCATTCAAGGATGTTAATGCAATATGAATAAAAATGAGGTATATTTTAAATTAATAGTCACAATGAAACTTTATATGCTTAGTTTTCTAGTGACTGTGGAAATATATTGCAAATAGTAGAGAATTCTGCATTGAGGAAATAGTGTTCACTTGAACTTACCTGTAATTGCATATTAATAACAATAACAAAAATAATGGAAATTACAGGTGGCTACTTAGTAATTAGTGTGGATTTAAATCCCCCAGATACCACTTTCCAGGACAGATTTTTACCACTATCATTTTCAACTAATTCAGGCTTTAGTACAAATGAAATCTTTAATTAATTTAAATATTTGCTAATTATCATTACTTGAAAGGTATTTTAGAAGTAAACCCCAACATTTCTATTGAGATGCTTTTCTAGCAAAGCATAACATATGATTCACATATTCCTAAGATATAAGTACAGATTAAAATAAATGTATGGCATATTATTTAGAAGGAGAGACAACATGGAATTTGCAAATTGTGTTTTGCAAATCATTTATAAAGATACACATATATATTCATTCATATGGATTTTCCTGATAGTATGTGTCAATGCCACCTTTAGTTTTCACAGAATCAAGAACAATGTTTTGGTTAATTGTGAAATAAATGAAAATGGTGGATGACAAGGAGTCTCTCCCAAAGTACAGGTCATCACTGGAAAAAAAATAGACTGTACTCCTTTGTAGGAATTAAAACATCATCCCAATAATAAAAAAGTGGGACTATTTTTCCATACTGAATATACAATATGTATATGTGAAATAGATTTTTTAAAGTTATGCAATGAGTGCTACATTCAAAGCAAAGTTTATTTTAAGAATATAAATACAAGAATACAAGAACCCTACTTTAAGGAGCAAGTAGTATCTGTGTTAAAATGAAAAAAAGTCTAATTTAAGGTTGGACAGACATGACTTTGATTTTTGCTTCTGCCTCTTTACCACAATGCAACACCAAATAATTTACATGATCTATATATTTCAGCTTCCTTGTTTATAAAATTGAGGTAGCTGGGCCTCCCTGGTGATGCAAGGGGTTAACACACAACCTATGAAGCTCCCCTCAGCCACTGCAGCACAAGTTTGATTCCTGGCCAGGGAGTTACCTACATGGCACAGCAGACCTCTCCTGACTTACCCGCTGCTCCCCTCAGCAGTGTACTTCAGTCAGTCTGCCTGTTCTGTTCCCTACTCTGTCTCTGGTGAATCCTCTCCCGCCTCACACCTCTGGCCTGTACCCCAGTTCTTATATGTATAAATAAATAAATATTTAAAAATAATTGAGGTAGCATGCACAATTTACTTAAATAAAATACATATAAATGAAAGTACATATCAAAGTTCCTGACAAATAGCAAGTGCCCCATTTCTATAATTCTCCCAAACAATCCACAAACTTCTGCCTGACTAATGCTCTTCTTTGCCACTTGAATTTAATGTAATTTCTTCAGAGAAGACTCTCTGATACCCAGACTTGATTAGGATCTCCGATTACACTCTCTATAGCAACCTATTTATCTCCTCTAGGATACTTATTATGATTTTAATTATGTAATTAACATTGTAAGTTCCATGAGGGCATAGACTATTCCTTTCTTGTATTCATAGTGTATGAGTACCTGTTCTGAGTTCTGCATATTAAAGCACAGTCAAGAATTATTGAAAATGGTAGTGATTAATCCACACAAAAAAATTAATGTGGCTATGCCAGGTTTGATGTTTAAATAGCATTTCAATACATTGGTTAAAAGAAAACTATATATGTATTGGATTACAAATATTTTGAGTGTATAGACTCAGGAGATTGTTTTAGAAAAAGCTGAAATAACAAGGACTTGATATTTCCTCCGGGTATTGTTCTTAGAGAGTAGTCTGGGATTTGGATGGGCAGAGAGGAAAATCAGTCTATTCAGAAGATCAAAGTAGTACAACTTAAATATCATGCTTTTTCATATCAACAATGAGCTAAAGAAGACTAAGACAGATAGACCATGCTACAGAGCATTTGAAAATAACAGAATTCAGAACTTCAACTCGTAAGGTTTCCTTACTATTCCTAGATTTGCCATCTTTGCTTACCCAATGATTAGCAAGTTCCTGAAAGTATTATGCACTAAAATATATTTTATGGATGGATTAAGAGTACCAGAGATTATGAAGTATTGCAATATCCTTTATTGTCCTTCAATCATTTTTTTACCTTTTTCATTCTTTAAAGAAAATATTTTTATTTCTTTTTAGTAACTGCATTTGGAGCACTTGTTTAGATCACAGTGAAGAGGAAAAAGTATTTGAGGGAAAGGCAGTAAATGCAAGTACTCAAGTGAATCAATATGAACTATGCAACTTTTTCCAGACTTCCCTAAAGGAAGTGACTTTAATGTACTATCAACTAATTCAGATATTATCTTGCTAACAAATTCGTATCTTAATAAATTGACTCAATTACCTTTATCCTTCAGTCCTGAAGAAGTCTTCTCAGATTTCTCTTTTCTAATTTCTGCAAAAACAATCAAGAAATGAAATGGTTATAGGAAGTAATAGAGAAATAGCTACAAGCTTCTTTACGTTTTGTTTACTGAGGCTTAAAGAACTATAGAAAAACTAAATTGATATTCAAGATACATATGTCTACTGGAATAAGTTGCCTGTAAGTATTAAATTAATGTGCAGGAGATAGAAAATAACCACCAAAAGGATTATCGTGAGGGTCAGACTATGATAAACACACAAAAAAATGTATAAGCAAATGCTATGGCTTTGGAGAAAAGATATAACAAGATAGCTAGCAGAGTCTATGTATTATGCAGCACAGGGAACATTCTCTACTGTTTTGGCATTCAACTTTTATGATAGCCTATTTATTAAGTTGTCTTGTTATTCTTGCTTTTAACACAGAGGGATTAAATAACTTTCCCAAATTCATGTATTTCTCAAGTAGGATTTGATCTGATGTCTCTGAACTCAGCCACAAAGGTACTGGCTCTGGTAACTGAATGATGGAATCAGAAAAGATTTTACTAGACATTGGTTCCAAAAATGTTTTGCCAGACCTTAGAGCAGACCTTAAAAGGTAGAAATTGGACCAACAGAGAAAAAGTATAAAGAGAGACACTGTTTAGAAGGACAGAATTGAAAATAGGGAGGCCTGGGGTAGTTATTCTGTCAGTTTGGCTAATGATTCACTGGTAACCAACAGAATGCAGTGGAAGTGATGCTGAATCAGGACAGGACATGCTGATTCAATCTGTTTTTGCAAGGACACTACTCCTGAGGAAGTCAAAGCCACGTGAGGACTCCAAATGACACTGCCAGACTGGCAAAATTACACACAGGTAGTCCATTCGGTAGCTGAGCTCCCAGCCAAGAGCGAGCATCAACTGCCAGCCATCAGGATGCCATCTTGGACATCCAGGACTAGGCTATGTTAGGTAACAGCAAAACCCCCAAGCTATGTCTGATGGCAATCACATGAGACATCCAGGTGAAAAGTTCCCATTCATCCCTCTGGAATCTCTGTCTCTCTAAATCATAAGCAAAGTAAAAACAGCTGTCATTTTAAGTTTTGGATTATCTGTGCCCTAATTCAATTTCCACCATGAATATCAGTGACTTTCACTTGGAATCTGAGAGTTGTAGTGAAAACTTATTTTTTGTCTTACATATGGCAAGAATAGCCTAACTCAGTACTGTCACTTTGGGTTTTCAGTTTAGTGTGGCAAAATTTGATGAACTCGGAATCAGTGCTAACTTCAGTTGTCTTTTTAAGTAAAATATGGAACATTGAAATCCTGGTGGATGGTTGTCATTCAGCTAAAAGGAGAGGACTAACAAAAAAAAAAAAAGGAAAATAAAATAAAATACTCAAATAGAATCAGAACTTCTGACTGTGCAAAGAATCAAATCTTTCTTACCCGGTTAGGAATACAGAAGTGCTCAGAAATATTTCAAAAACTATCTTTCTTCCCTCTTTTGTAGATAAAGGATGCCTGCTGATTTCAAATATTTTTTTCATGAACATAACTAACATCAATGTATAATCCTGTTTGGAATTTTCCTTTGATGTGAAAAATAGTTTTAAAGGACCACATGGAGAGCTCTATTCATTAGTTCAATGAACCTGATTATTTCCCAGAGTCTTGACTATGAAAGTAGATCTCACAGTTTCACAAAAATTAAATTTACTTCTTTATTGCATCCTGTTGATACTGCATTGTCCTAAAAGTGATTTTCTTATAGTTAACTGCATGAGTTTACAAATTTTAATATGACAATGTATCTGTTCTTGTTTTATGTTCATGTGCACATAAATGTTGATATTCAGAGATATTTTTACAAAGGTATTTTATAGCATTTTTCCAAATGTTACCAAACTCCAAAATATAAATTTTACAAATTAATGCAGAGAAAAGTATTCTCAAGGGGACTGCCTGGTGGCACAAGGGGTTAAGACACAAACTATGAAGCTGTCCCCAGCCTCTACAGCATGATTTCAATCACCCAGCTGGCCAGGGAGCAACCCACATGGCGCAGCAGACTTCTCCTGACTCGTCCACTGCTCCCCTCAGCAGTGTACTTTGGTCAATCTGCCTGTTCTGTTCCCTACTCTGTCTCTGGTGAATCCTCTCACTGTCCACACCTCTGGCCTTTACCCCAGTTCTTGTATGCATAAATAAATAAATCTTTAAAAAAGGAAAAAAGTATTCTCAAATTATTTAAATGGTTTGAAATGCCATGCTTGTAAATTCTCTATAGGAAAAATAATACACTAATGTTTTATGTAATATTAATTATGAATGTTTTGTAAAGATATGTCAAATTTTACACTGGACACTGTCCTTTAGCTTTTTAATTAAGTGTGATTTGGTCAGGAAACCATCTGTAACTTTCTCTTAGTCCTAATGATACATTTCATCATTCCCTGATCTATCTACTAAAGAACTTGTCATACGTTCTTAAAATTTTAACAAATTGTTCTCTAAATATCTGTTTTAAATGTTTAAAAGTTTAAAACATTTCTAAGTAAATTATATTTATATGTTGGCATCATTTTTCTTTTTAACCTTGGAAACTTCATTGTGTTTGTTTAATTTCTCTGAAGTCATCAAATCCCCACTGCTGTGACTAACCTCTAGGGAACTTTGTAATTACCATGCTTTTACTCTCTAGCTTGGCTACAAGAAGTGGATTCTTCCCATATACTTTTATATTCTGATCCTCATATACACTAAAACTCACACTACTAATTAGATTCTGGAGTGTACCTCAATGGGGTTCATTTCAATTTTTTTTCTATTCAATTCATCCAAAAAATCAGCAATAAGCAAGAATTTCAAAAATAAAATGAGCACTCACTTATATAGTTGGAGGCTGAGATGAACTGGGACATTCTAGGCACACTCAGCTACTGAGCTCTAAATCAACTACAAAAAATATGCTTCAAATAAAACTTTATTAGCCATAAAATGATATACCTAAGGTCTCTATTACGCCTCACTTTTTGAGTGAGGCAGATGTTACCTTGGTTTTTAGATGTGAACATGGATGCTAAGAGAGATAAATAAGTAACTGAGGGAGTAGCTACTTAATAGTACCAGGAAATTTGTACCCTGACCATCATGCTATAAAAGTAGATCTAAGCTTCTATAGTATAAGCTGGCAGCACAGTGGACTGTATAGTAGATAGCACTCCAGACGCCTCCCAAATGTGATGTGTGAATACATTTACATTACCACATCAAATTAATGTTTTTCATAGCTGTCACTATGTCATAGCTCTCCAAATACTTCAGAAGCAGAAAATTTATCATCTGGTACACACTTAGAATTTAAAAACTTTATTGAATAAATTAATAAATTTGGCAAATTTTGTGTTGACCACACTTTATCAGCAAATTTACTTTAATTATTACACAAAAGCCTAATCATCACTATAATCACCTTACATAGTTAACTATTTTCACCTTTGTACCAACTTGGCTAACATGTTAAAGCAAACTGAAACTGGTAATACTTGAGAGTTTTCATGGACATATAAATAAAATTATATATATTTCAACCTAATATTTATACAGCATTGTACTTTTTCAAATATAAGACTTTGTGTGGTTAATGCCCAATGTTGGATAATTTCATACATCTATATTTATATACTTACTTAATTTCTGTAATAACTTCTAATCATCTATTCATTTTTAACATAATACATTCTTTTACCTTTTATAGTAACATTCACTATACATATTATAGAATGCCTTTTGAACATAGTTTTTTTCTTAATTAAAAATCTACATAAACAATTTTGTGGGTTCCTGGGAATTAGTCTCATTATAGTCTAAGTGTTCAAATAAACACCTGAACTATAGTTTATTTTATGAGATGATATGAAGAAAATTTTAAGGGATATAATTAAACATAAGAAAAATTTTAACTATTAAAAAAAAATTTTAATACCTCTTTCTGTTATTCAAAATACGGTACTTTGAAATTCACTTAGTGGACTAATTATTTGAGATATACATATATTTCTTTAATTAATTGAATTTGATAATATTTTAGAGTATATTAAGGCTTATAGCAAAATGAATATAAAATAAAAGGGTTTCCCATATATCCCCTTTCCTAACACACAGCTTCCCTCATCATAAACATCTCTCATTACTGTAATATATTTGCTATAATTGGTGAATCGATACTGATGAATAATTATCAACTAAAGTCCAGAGTTCACATTAATTCACATCTTTATTTTGTTTAGTCTATGAATTTGACAAATATTATGACATCTACCACTGTAGTAAAGTTCCTTGTACTCTACATATTCATCCCTCCATACCACCAAGTCCCTTGAAACCACTTAAATTTTTACTATTTCCATAGTTTTTCCATTCCTTTCTCAAAATGTCAAGCATGAGTTATATAGTACATTAGTTTTTCAGATTGGTTTCTTCACTTAGAAATAGAATTTAAATTTCTCCTATGTCTTTTTATGGCTTGACAGCTCATACATTTTTAGCCCCAAATAAAAATTCCACTGTACAGATGTATCAGATTTGTTCACTCACTAAATAATGTATTTGTTGATCCCAGTTTTTACCAACTATGCATAAAGATGATGTAAATATTTGCATGCAGATCTTTGTGTGGACAATAATTTTCAACTCATTTGGGAAAATATCAAGAAGCATGATTGCTGGCTCATATAGTAAAAGTACATTAAATTTGGTAAGAAACCACCAAACCATTCTCCAACGTAGCTGCACCATTTTGAATCTCTCCAGGAGTTTCCTGTTGGTTCACATGGTCCCCAATATTTTATGTTGTCAGTGGTTTAGCACTTAGTCATCCTAGTAGGTTTGTAGTAATATCTTACTGTTTTAATTTGCTATTTCCCAATGATATATTATGTTGTACACATTTTTGCATGCTTATTTGCCTTTTGTGTATCTTCCTTGATAAAGTATCTGTTCAAATCTCTTGCCAGTCATAAAAGTGTTGTTC